TTTTTCGGGCGGGGCGACCCCCGTCCGTCCGTCCGCTTTTGAGACCCTACCTCCTTTAATTCCTATGCATTTAGATTTAGTGGGAGTCGCAGTCAGGAATGTCACCAGATGTCACTGACTCACTGTCACAACTACACAAAATCAATGAGCTCAGGAATTTGGCATTGGCCTAGCTAGTCTCGGCGCCAGTGGCTGGCCGCCGAGCCGGCCTAACTCTGTAGTCTAAAATGGACAGAAATGTAGATGGAAAAGGTAAGTTGAACTCGCTCCCTTTATTTAGATCTAATGCTTTGTCATTACTCTACACTGCAGATCAGTATAGATTTAATTGGAGGGCTCGACACTCAACAGTAATAGTAAAAGAGGTCCTGTACTGCTGGGGAGGGGACCAAGGATTAGATGAATCAGAATGCGATTGCAGCGGTGATTTTCCTAAAAAGAGACAGCATATTTCTGTTATTGATGAGTTTGACTTTTCATCTGGTGTTTGGTCCTCTCAACCTACTAGAGGTACTCCTCCACTGCATGGGAATCAGAGGAGTCTCCTGTACCACCATTAATAATAATATTTATTATTTTGGTGGTTTTTGTGGCCATGGCAAATGCTACCATAACAGTTTGAACTTTTAACTCTTCAGTGGAAAGAATTAAAACCAACCGGGGACAATTCTGTGACTAAGAAAGGCTATGGTGGTATGATAGCAATGGGAAGTGAAGGTGAACCTCAACAGTTACTGGTTATTGGTGGACTGGCTCCTATATCAACTACTACACAGTATCGTCAGTTTGAATACCATAAGATACCTAGCCGGGTTGATCGTTTTAGAACTAATGAGCATAATATCTACAACTTGTCTAGTGGTAAGTGATTTGTTGCATTGTTAGTGTAATTATCATTTTTATAGTCAGTATTGCTGTTAATTATTATTACATAATTATTACAAATAAATTGCATTTATGATTGCATCAACATGAAATTACTTTAGGGCAATGGATTGTTCCATTTGTCAGTGGACAGTGTTTTCCACCAACTGATAATTTTACAATTGAAAGGATTAGTCATAATAAAGGAATCATATATGGAGGGTCAGTAACTGATGGTGGTAAAAGTATACCTACTAACAGTATATACTTATTTGAATTATCACGTAATACAATAGTAAGCTATGCACAAGAGAAGTTATAATCACAACAGAATAATACAATTAATTCTAACAATAACTAAATTCATATTGAGTTTAAAATACTACATGATTAAATGTATAATCATGCAATGTCATGTTTCTAGAACTGGGAGTCTCTTAGCAAAGGAGCAATACCTAATGATGGACTCTGGACTAAGGAGAGATATGCTCATGCTAGTACTATTATCAATGGTGCCTCTACCTCACCTACACTAGTAGTGATTGGTGGAGTGGGTAATTATGATGAAACACTGAATGAATGTTTGTTATTAGACACAAATCAGTACAATTGGATGAAGGTATTAGAGCATTATTATTATTAATGTGTGAATTGACTTAAAATCTGTGATATTGCTTTGTCAGCATGCAAATGCAAAGTTTTTTTATTTGTGGTGCTAATTGATAAAATTTTTTGCCCCTAATTGCCTAACCCTTCATCTCATGACCTACATGCATACTATACAATAAGTTACATGTACCCACATTGGTATACAATGGTATATGTATATACCGTAATAGAGTACTGTCTTTGCCTTCCTGTATATTTGTACATTCAGCTATTTCTTATTTTTTACAGATTCAGTTACTATTTTGTTTCTAAAGTATTGCCCCTAAATACCAACCTTACAACCTTTTACATTGAACTATCTAATAACTAATATCAACTTTTTATTATACACTCTAAACCATTATTCTGTTTCTTATTTGCTATAGATTTCTCTACCTGATTCTGTTACTGGTAGATACTATCATACTGTATCATCTTTTGCTGTTAATCCTAATCATATGTTCCTGATAATAGTGGGAGGTTATGCAAAGAGGGAACAGGAAGATGTAGGAGGAGAAATGAAATGGATGAACATACCTGTTACTTATTCTAAAATCACAATGATAGTAGAACTAGGTAAACACTCATGTAACTGTCAGTTAAAGCCATTCATATCATTATTGCTTCCTTCCGTTCATTTCTCTCCCTTACTCAATTTCTTAATCTCAGTTTTTAATGACGAGGGTCAATGTTCAGTAGAATCAGTCAATAGTGGAATGTCAAGAATGAACAACCGATCACTTCAAGAAGAACTATTGAAGATTAAATTAGGTACAATATTAGTCTGGTACAATTATAATTATATCAAGGACTAACAAAAAACACATTATTCTTTAAAGTTACATTTTATTATTAAAAGTTTGCTTCAAAATTTGTACAGAAAGTCATTGAATATTGCAATAGTATCAAAAAATTTCATTACTTTACAAAATGGAAAATAAGTGTCATATATTGGCATACCTATTGTGGGATTGTTTAAATTTGTATTGTACAAAGTTAATTTGTACATTCCACATTAGATTTGTACAAATTTGTACACTTCAGAAGTGTGCAGATTTGTACAGTCAAATAATAAGTGTACAAATTTGTACACTTTAAGAAATTTTGGGTAATTATGTACAAATTTGTACAAAATTATATTACATAATTTCTGGCTATTTTTGAACACATGCATAGATTTGCTCACAAGTATAGCAATTCATGAATTGAAAGTGTTATATTTTCATTAATTTTTTGCCATTTTTTAGACAGCTTTAGATGATAAAAGTTAAGATATAAAAATAATACGTTAAAATTAATATATGAACTTTGGCTCTGAATTAAAAATATTGTTTATCATTATGTGGACCATATTAGTATCAAACATTGCTCATTCTTAGCCCAACATACATTATATGCAACAAACAACTTGTTGCACGCAACTCATGCAGTTTATTTAAAATAGTCAATATAGCTTGCAACATGTTGCAGGAAATATCCTATTTCATGCAACATGCTGCAAGCTCCATTGACTCCTATATAAACTGTGTTGCATGCAACAAGTTGTTTGCAACAAATTTTGCATAGTGTATGTTGGGCTTTAGGCACATGCATACTTTAATTAGAACTAAATTTTTATTAGCACCCACTTTATGCCAATTTAAGCACAAGTTTTACCACAAGTAATATGATTATAGTTTTCTCTCATTAATTATTTTTTATTTATTTTATAATTAAGAGAAGAAGATGCTAGAAACACAACTGCTAGAAACTAAGACTCTTCTTACTAAACGAAAAAGAGATCAAGAGGACTCACCTCACTCAAGTAATCATAAAATAATTAATCTCTTGAGAATAAGAATTTAATTTTTCTACAGATCATGCTAAGAAGCTTAAAATTGATGAACTAGAGGAATCAGTTGAGGAGAAACGAATAATGACTGATGGTTAGTGTATCATCAGTATATCATTAGAAAATATTCCACCAATGTAAAACTAGAACATAATGAGAAACTTAGAGCTACATCAGTTGCTGAAAATGAAGTATATATGACTGAAATAGAAGATGAGAAGAAACAAGTGCAATTTATCAAAGAGACTAGTTCTGTTGAAGTTCAGTTTAACCGTTACTTAATACCATCAATAGGTAAGAGATATATAACATGAGTGTGAATTAATCAATTGATAGATAATTTGGAATGTCTGAGTGATGTCCAGGTAGCAGAGAAGAAGCTGTTCTTAATTCAAGGAGACAAACCTCAACTGATGAATTGGGAGAAATATGGTCTAAGGATTGGAGTACAAGAAGGAAGCCTATTGTCCTCTGAGACAGTAGAAGCAGCAATGGTTGCTCTTGTAGGAGGACAGTTCCAGTTTCCTCCTAATACTGTCCTAGTGAGTGCTGTGTATGCAGTATCACTCTCAAAGCCTCTCCTCAAACAACTCAAGTTAGAGATACAGCACTGCGTTGATTTAACAGGACGACCAAATCTTGCACAATACTTAAAGTTTGCTATAGCTCCAGTCGATACACCCAGTCTTCCTTACCAGTTCTCAATAGTTGAGGGAGGAGAGTTTAGCTTTAATAGTGGGTATGGATCCATTCAACGTAACAAGTTTTGTTTGGTTTGTATACTGGGGGAAGACTCAACTAATGGAGACACAGAGGAAGGAGAGGAAGAAGAGAACAGACAGGTAACTCAACAAGAGGAGAATGATGAGGAAGAGGAAAGTGAGGATCAGGAAGAGGAGGGAGAAGGAGAAGATAGTGACATTACTAGTGACCGTACCAGCAGTACTCCATCAGAGGTTAGTGGAGCATGTAGAGGTTAGTTAGTGAGTCTATTGATGATAATGTAATGTACTCCACTATTGAATAGAGTCTACTACTATAGAAGAGACTAACCTCCCAACCAATACAGTGTCTGTTGCTGGTCCTACTACTACACCAAATACTAATCATATTATTAACAGTAAGTACATGGACACACTGACTCCTATTGCTTTTATTTTAATAGAAGTACAGTCCACTGGTGTAAAGAAAGCTGTAACATATGCTGGACTTGTTTATTATGAGGAAAAACGTGTAGAGGATCTGGTGACTTTCACTGCTGCTAAGAAATTGGATGCACTCATTCATGTAAGAATGATACACACAATGTGTTGATTATTATTTGATAGTATATTGAACGGAAACACTCTCAAGCTGAGATTGGGCCAGATATTTCCTTTTTTTTCAAGTTTCCTTATGATTATGTTGAATTAAACTTTGATGCACCTCAAAAGAAACCATTCACTGGATGGACACTTAGTCCTCACACTGATCCTTGCCGAGTAAGCTAAGCGTTTTTTTATAATACTAAGCTTAAGCTATATTGTGTTACAGTTATATCAAAAGGCCATTGATAAATTTGGTGATAAAGAGCATTCTCGTCCTTCATGTTGTCTCATATCAGTTTACGGATCACCTGATGCTGTTCCTTTTCTTAATTACTTCATACCACTGGAAGGAGTGGCTCATCCAGTTTCATTAAACATTCATAGAGCACGAAGAAATTTCACTGTTCCTGTTCCTCCTTCAACAAGTAATGAATAAATCATTTCAAATGTTTATGCATTTAATATTAATCAGATCCTACTACCTCTTCCTCTAATACAATTACTGAAGATACTGCATCATCCACTGGAGGAGCTTGTAAGTAACAGTGTGTGTGTGTTTATGCATGGTTTGTGTGCATCGAGTTATATTGACCTTTGACCTCCATTAGGTGCACCAGCTGTTGATGTTGAGAGAGTGAAGAGAATCATTGATGATGTTCTTGTATCTCGTGATGCTGCACTCAATTCTCTTACATCATCTCTCTCAGATCTTGCCAGTCAGTTATTTTCAGTTGGTCTCATTACTGAACAAGTTAAAAGAACTTGCTCAATGGAAGCTTTCATTAATGAGTTCAAGGCTAGTCTTAGTTTTATGAGGAGGTTACCTCAAGTGCAGGAGCACTGTCAAAAGTTCTTGAAGTCATTCATTGCTGTAAGAGGCAGTTATGCAAATGCAGCAATAGCTTTAGGTGAGGACTGGATTGAAGCTATTAGAAATGAACTGGGATTTGATTTTAATATTAATTATTGAGCCATAGATAACTATGGCTCAATAATTAATATTCATTGACTTTTTAAAAGCTATTTAATTTTTATCACTGTATTATATGTATTGTATAATGTTTAAATCTAGCTATGTAATGTTCCACTCTTCTGGTCTATATTGTTCTTTCCTTTCACTCCAACTCTTTCATTTTTCATTGAAACTGTCTTCTTCTCTGAATTTACATATTTCTGTCTATCATTCCTAATATTATACAAAGAAACAAAAGTGAAAACATAAAAGCACCAACATGAAATAAAGCAATAAATCATACATGTATGTGTCACTACATGTTACATAATGTACTATTACTCGTATCATTAGTACCTGCTCATCTTCACTTTGTTACGGCAGCCTTGACCTCCTTCCCAATGTGATGAACTCTTACTTTGTGTCATATCAGAACCACAAGACACACAAGGATTACTGCCATTATAAACCTACAAATAAAATAATAACAGAATAATAATAATAATAATAATAATAATACAAGTAGAAGAAATCAGTTATATCATAATCTATGAATGTGTATAATGTACTTGTTCTTTGGAGCAGTATCCACATATCATTCTGTTAGCTCT